AAATGTTTTCAATACGTATTGTGTGCCTCTAACAACCAATCAAAATTAAGAAAAATAAAATTCAATAATAAGTCATAAAAGGGTGTAATAGTAATTTTGGCACACTTAATTATGGTAAATATTTAAAACATTTAATATCCTTTAAATTAGGGTAATTTGTTTGTTAACACTACAAAAACAAGGGCCATTCATCACCATCAACACTATCGTATTCCTTGTTTCCCCTCACCAAGTCCGACAAGCATTGCCGCCCAATACCATCATCGATCACCAACATCATCATCTTTATATGTTGTCGAGGAGAGGTAAACTAATCTAACTTGCGATTCTGGAAGATACGAGGGGCAAAGATGCAATCTGCACCAACGATGATGCGATTCTTGTATGTGTAATCGAACCAACGACGATGCGATTCTACGAGTCTCGATCTTTCCTGTTCCCATGAAAGGTTTTGTGATTTTTTTCCTACAGTATTTGATTTCCTATTCTTCTACATCTTGATTGCTTGCAATTCTTCCTCTTAACGTTACTGATTTACGTTTCTTCACATGGGTCATCCATTTGATTTATTCACTGATTTTTGATTCTTTGATTTCCGATTATCCTTCCTGTTGATTTCTGATTTCACTAGTATACCCACTGTGTCACAACTAGAAATTTTGTGTCTTGTAATCACAACACTCAAGTAAAATGTTGAATCAAAAACTTAAGAGCATGTAAGATGCTTACTTCATGGCAACAAATTTTCAATCAAACACTTCATAAAAGCACTACAAATAGTCAACAAGCAATTGGAAACCCTAGAAGTTCTTGTTTAGGTCCATTTTGGACTACGACTTCCTTATTGGGCCCAATGGACCAATAAGCTTCCAATTTGACTATCATGGGCTTAGAACCTTTAAATGGGCTCTAATTGGACCCACTTTCATTTATTTCAATGTTTTGGGCCATATTGGGCCTAGAAGGAAATAAATTAAATATTATGAACTATTATGGACCATAATTAACCTAATCTAGCCTAATAAAGCATAAAAAATCACACTTATATTTTATAGGGCTAAAAATCACCCAACCTAACTCTAATATGGGCTTATGGGCATTAAATCCCAATACTCTCCTTTTTCTTTCCAAATGTCGGCCCAAAGCCCAAATCCAAGAGTGAAGAGTTGACTTGAGAAGTGCCACCTCACTTATACCTCACATGCCTCCATGCATGGACCAACATGCATCTAGAATTGTCACCTTAACTCCCTCTCTCTTCTTCTCCTTGTTCTCGGCCGAGAGTTCACCCACGCATACACTTCAATCACTTTTGTTTATCAAACTCTCTCAAGGAACACCCTCACCTCTCTTCACCAAATTTTCGAGACTTAAGAGCATTCCAAAGAGATTTTCCACAAGAATCATCATCTAAGGTAAGTTTATAAGTAAATCTATGATCTAAGTTCCTTGATTTATCAAACATCTCTTCTTAACTCATAAGAAATCATGATCTTGCACCTTAGAAGCTCCCAAACTCGTGATCTTCCAAGGAAAGGTTGCTTAGGCCAAAAATCATCTCATTTTCTTCCATCTCTTCTCCAAAACCGAAACCACTCCCAAAGGTGAGCTTCATACTCCCTACTTTTCGGTTTTAGAAGTTTTATGGGGGGGGGAATACAAGCAAATGTGCAGATCTATGTGTATATCTATGCTTTGTGTGATTTCTATGCTTATATTTGTGTTTTTATGTGATTGTGATGTTGGATCTAGTCAAAAAGCCCTTAAAACCGAGATTTGCATCAAGTTATATGATATTAGAATAAATTATATTGATACATATAAATCATTTATAGAAAAATAACCAAGATGGTTAATATGAACTTCTTTGGGCCAAAAACCCATTTTTGGACTAAAATGTCAAAAATGTAAAACAGGGCCCAAAATGACAAATTAGCAATTCTGATGGTTGAAATATGCCAAAACAGTTTCAATAAGGTATTTTCTGGAAATATATTCTTTTGAGGGGTTAAAATGAAAAATATTAAGCATAATTGGCCAAAAATGGATTTTCGACCCAATAAGGCCCAATATGCGAGATTTTCAAATTTGAGGGGCTGAAAATGTATTTTTCTGTAAAACAGGGGACTACTAGTGCTCCAAGTCCATTTCAAGGGTTAAAAACACTTTTCATATTTAAAAAGGACCAAAGATGCAAAAAATTTCTATTTTGGACCAAAAGTGTAAAAGTGCGAAAAATGAGGATTTAAAGGAGAAAACTTCATTTTAAGGGACTAAAACTGTTTTCAAATAAATATGAGCTGAAAAATACCATTTTTAACAAGTTTTGATATTAAAATGTTAAGAAAAATGGTCTAAGGACTAAATTGGAAATTCTTTTATTCAAAGGGTTAAAAGTGTAAACTCATAAAAGAAAGGGGCTGCAAACAGAAAAACTCTGAAGTTAAACAATAAATCCGTTGAGATAAAACACTGATACCGCGACTACCGACAAAACCTAATACACCATCAACACCAAAAATCGTTACTGGACGAATTGACTCGGTCTCGAATCAATAACGAATCCGAAACTACTAACACGATGATATTCAATACATACGCGGAAATTTCGGGAAGTAAATACATGCGTGGGAATACACAGACGTCGGTACACCATCTTTGTGCCCAAAAGTGTCAAATCTTGCTTGTTGGGCCTAACTAGCCCAATGACCTGATCTTTAGGCCCGAAGACAACTTACTTACATGATTGTTGGGCCTTACATGACCTAACTCTGTGTAAAAGGACTTTCAATGGCTTTTAGGCTATTGGGCCCAAGGGTCCTTTGGTACGGCTAGTAAAGTCGATAATTCACAAAAATGCGGGACGGGCCAAGGGCCCTTCGCATTCACTATAGCCTGAACGACTTATGGAATTATTGAGGTCTTCGTGCCCTCTTTTCTCCTCGGTGTGGGGCTACAAGAAGTCAGAGTGGTTGGATTAAGTGAATAGTACGGACGACGCCTAAGGGATCGTTAGTATGGTTGTAAACTAGTTGTTTCTATTAACGTGTGTTTATAACAATTCACAATGCACATTTAATTCATGTCACCTGGAATCATTGACTTCACATGTCGCAACGATACAACACCACACAAAAAGCGTAATTCAAAGAATTAGGAAAACATCGGGTTTTCCTAGGGTTTTTCAATACATACAACTACGAGATGCATACCAAATACAACCAATTTTTTTTATATATATAGAAACAAACAAGCATACTTACGGATCTTCACACTTTTTATACGATACTCTTTTCAGAAAAATATCGGATTTTCTGGTGGTTTTCAAAACAATACAAAACGTTTTATTTCAAACATTACTTGTGAACTCACCAACATTTCATATGTTGACGTTTTTCAAAACGCTTGTATTCTCAGGTAACAGGTAAACCAAGGGAAAAATGTACTCAGTGACGACTTGTTGTTTGTTTAACTATTATCGAACAATTTACTTTTGGGGATGTAATGTTTGAAACAATGTACTAAGTGTAAACTCAATCAGTTGTACTATCTCAATGCATGGTAATGATTGATGTTATGTTTCATGTATATTCAATGTAATGGTATTCAATTGAGTCACAACAGCCCTCGGACATTTCTGCCGTCTGGTTCGGGGGTTGGACAGGTTGGTATCTGAGCTTTGTTTATAGTGAACTAGCATATCTAACCACACATTGATATGCAACTATAAACCAAAAGAGGGACTAACACAACTCTGAACAAAACAAGTAAACACACAATAAAAACACCCTTGCTTGCATTAGAAATAAGAACATAAAGCCGAACCAAACAAGATAATGCTAGTATCCCGGTTAATTCAGAATTGTTTTAGCGATATCAAGAAGTGAATGTAGCCTGATCAACTACATTCCCTCCAAGATATAATTAACACATGTTTCGATGAGATCGCGATAGATAGAGAACCTAAAACTATACCCCTTTAGCACCAAAAAGATAACGTATGTTTAGCCTATGCAATAGTGGTTGGGTCATAGAATAATGGTAGTTTATTCGTATACCTTCTCCCAGTCTACATGGAAGGAGAGCAGCAGGGCATTCAGTTTCATCAAGTCCTAGTAGCACACGGGATGCTCGAAGATGAACCAGAAGGGAATCAAGAGGGAGCCCACGCCGTCGGACCTAACGAGTACATGGACACCGACTATGAGTTCGAGGAGACCGATGATGACATGGAGGAAGAACAAGACCTGGGCAAGAATCACTCCGCATCCCCTGTTAGCGAAGTGCAGCAGGACCACACCGCCCCACCAGTGAACCCCCCAAGGGAAAATCGCTCCCCTGAAGCTGAGATCGCCGCGCTACGGCAACAGTTGTACACCATGGAAGCACGTGTAGTGCAAGCTGAGCACGAGAGGGATGAGGTTATTGGAGACATGATTGAGAAGGCTCAGTTGTTGGCCCAACACTTCGGCATATGACCCCGCCCTTATATAGGACACAAATCATCGCGCTATGTACTTCGACTCTATGTTTAAGTGACTACACTACTCATAGAGTCGTTATGCTGTCGAACTAGTGTCACTCATATATGCTCTTACGAGTAAAATTTTCATGTATCCAATGCGGATAATATTAATGAACTTTTGCGTGTTTATTATGACAATACAAATTGCTAGGTGTTGAGAATCTATGATTGTATGCTAAATGGTAGAAGTGTTTAAGTTTGTACCACGCACTTAGTTAATAGGATCACAACCTCACGGAACCACGTACACTCAACATCTTTCCGTTTCGTGACAGAAAGATGCCTCTCCGACCTACTCGCGGAAACCCAGGACCAACCCCACCCGAACAATGGAGGAGTCAATGGGTAAGGGGCCGGAAGTTTGAACAACGGAATGAATCAAGGACCCACCAAAGCATGTACCTACAAGGACTTCACAAACGCCAAATCTGGTTTGTTAAATTTCAGGCTAGAGACAAAGTTCATTGAAGAAATTATGAACGACATCCACCGTAGATTACATGTACCCTTAAGGATTGCTCAACCATTACTTATTGGGATGGAATATCATATTCACTTTGTTACTTCATGGTTGAAAGATGGGTCCTCACATACTGCAGACATACTCACTACTTTGGGTATGGGTGGGATCGGGAAGACATCTTTAGCCAAACATGTCTATGGGTTGTATTCTCATGAATTCCACATAAGTAGCTTTATTGAAGATATCACAAGGAAATGTGATGGAAAGTTTAATGGGTTACTTGATTTACAAGAACAACTTTGCAATGACATTTCAAAAACAAGTTCAATTAGATTTCATGATGTGGGAATATACACCACAAAGATAGAGAATGCACTAGCCCGTAAAAGGGTTTTTCTAGTCCTTGATGATATAACCACTATTGATCAGTTGGATGCATTACTTGGAAGCAAAGGTTTTCATCCTGGAAGCAAAATTATAATAACAACAAGGGACAGATGGTTGACCGAGAGTTGTGCACTATTCAAAACAAACAATAAACCCAAGCATGAAAGACATTTGCTTCTTGGCTTAGATGAGATCCAATCACTACAACTTTTGAGTTTTCATGCATTCATGTGCAACTATCCCAAGGAAGGTTATGAAGAGGTGTCATATAAGCTTGTGAAATATTGTCAAGGAAATCCATTGGCTCTTGTAGTTTTGGGAAAGTCTCTATGTAATCGAGATGTAGCTTACTGGGAAGGGTGCATAGAAGGGTTAAATAAAGAAACAAGTTCCCATATAAATAATGTCTTGAGAATGAGCTTTGATTCTTTGCCATCCAACAATGATAAGGAATTGTTTAAGCATATTGCTTGCTTTTTTGTTGGAATAGATAGAGATGTTAGTGAAACAATATTAAAGGCATGTGATATAATCACAAGATCTGGAATCACGAATCTCATTGACAGATATCTTCTTAGTATAGGATCGAATAATGAATTAAAGATGCATCAGTTGGTTCAAGAGATGGGAAGATTGGAAGTACATCAAGAATCACTTGACAAGCCATGGAAGCGAAGTCGAATATGGTGTCATAAGGAGTCATTCAGAGTGTTGAAACAAAAAAAGGTGAGAGTATGTATACTTGTTGGTATTGTGCATATTCAAATTACTTTGTATTATCTCTTTTTTATTTTTGGCCATTTGTTTCTTTTTAGGGTAAGGGAAACGTTTTAGGCCTTTCCCTTGACATGCGCATGCTTGAGAAAGAGAAGTCTGAAGCATCATTTGAGCTAAAAACAGATGCATTGAGTAACATGGATAGTCTAATGCTACTACAAATCAATTATGTGCACATGGAGGGGTCTTACGAGAACTTTCCGGGTGAATTAAGAGGCTTGCGTATGCATGGGTTCCGTTTAAAGTCTATACCTTTAGACTTACCAATGATGAATCTGGTTGCTCTTGACATGTCATATAGCTATATTGAATCATTTGTTGGTTGTTATAGTAATATACAACGACTTGAGAAGAGACAAAAGGTAACTTATCTTCATTCATTATTCATCAATGTTGAGGTGATGAAATTCAATACTCTTCTAACTTATTTCAACTTTTTTGCAGTTTGATGCATTGTACTTAAAAGACAAAAAGTTGTTTAGATCATTGAAGATTCTTAATTTAAGTTTCTGTAAACAACTTCGTAGTCTTGGTGACTTTGACCAACTCCCTGCACTCGAGAGGTTAATAGTTAGAAATTGTGTTGGTTTGGTTGAGGTTGGTGAATCAATTGAGCAATGTATTGAACTTGTCTTCATTGATATGAGCTATTGCAAGAAGCTTGAAAAACTTCCTAGAAACATAGGCATGTTGAAGAATGTTAAAACACTGTTGCTCGATGGTTGTAAGCTTAGCGATTCTCAAATCGAGGATATGGATATGGTCATAAACATAAGAACCTCCTCCTCCGTCTTTATGGGTGCTATACCAAGTGATTTGAAGTTGTTTACAGTTTCTTTACCGAGGTCTTTAGTAAGGTTGTCATTAGTAAATAATAATTTGTCCACTGAATGCTTTCCCATGGACTTTAGTTTCCTAACCATGTTAAAGGAATTATATTTGGATTACAATCCTATAAATTCCATGCCTAGTTGTATGAGAACCCTTCCCAGGCTAGAGATACTTAGTATGGCGAATTGTAAAAAATTGAAGTTAGTTGAGCATCCTCCACGTACACTAAGTAGGTTGTTGCTATTTTCTCGTCATGGGAGTTTTGTAAAGAAAGTTGTATTTGATCCAGAAATGTCCCCACTAGAGTTATCATCAAACGGTGGATAGATTTCACACCTGGGTCCTGTGAAATTGAAGGAATGATCAAAATCCAAGCAATGGTGGGTGTTAAGGACAAGGTATTACGTAGTTTGGGTTGGATCAATGTAGACTTCCTTAACAAAGGATACGTGGGACCTAATCCTTGGGAATCTAAAATCCAGGTTTCTTTCGGTTAACTGTCCATCTTTATGTGAATATGTATAATATAATTGTTATATATGTATTTAATTAAGGTGGTTGTATTTTGTAGTCAATGTTTTATGAATTTGGAATATTCAGCACAAAGTATGAAGCAGAGGAGATTCCGAGTTGGTTTAAGTATAGAAGCTTGGGGCCATCAATATCATTTACCATCCCATCATCATCTCCAAACAACCTTACTGGACTCAACTTCTGCTCTCTGCACACATTGAAACCTCCCGATGAGTGGTTATTATTTCCACATGATCAGTTTCCTAGTACACCAATGACGACAATTAGTAATATAACAAAGAACTGCACGTGGATATACGAACGTCACACGGATAGAGTTATTGAATATGGAAAGTGTTGGTTGGTGTTAAGTCATTGGATGTTTGGGATGAATGAAATGGAGGTTGGTGACCATGTTACTATTACTGTTACATCACCATATAATGAATTTGTAAAGGATTGTGGGGTGAGTCTTGTGTATGATGAAGTAAAGAACAAGGATGAAGAAGAAGATGCATTGGGTTATTACAAGTCATGGAATCACATAATTGGTGGAGATCTCTCTCCTTTTCAAACAACAACAGGACAATACATCCTAAACAACATGCGGTTTTTTGAGTCTGCCATTATGTTGTTTCCGTATCATGCTAAATTAATTCCAGACGGCCCCAGATATCAAGGTATATGTGATTTTTGTTAATTATATTATCGTAATATTGTTTTATGTATAATGATCTCATCTATAACCCAATTTCTTTAAATAGATGGATAATGACTCATTTGTCTTAATAGTAAATCATAACTTAAATCTTTTAAACAAATGACTAATATGTCCCATATCCACTCATTTATTATTAATTTTATTATCATATAAGATTTTATTTTTATATAATACAAAAAATTAAAGTTTGACTTTTAATTTTAGATGAATCGAACAAAGTATTGATTGGTCTAAATGGGTTGATTTGTTATGTCAGTTGACTATGTCTTTGATATGGCGGATCACATAAATATATTTATGCTTTCAATACAACTTGTGTTCAGGACAAAAGGAAGTGTCCTGGTTTAGAGCTTTTTCTCAAAGGAATACTGGCATAATTGGGAGCACACGTGTGGTATATTTTTTTCACATCCAAACCTTTCTATCATCACAGAATAAAAAGGCATATACAACTAAATATGTTATCACCATATCAATGTATACTTATGTAAAATTTTAAAATTTCTTACTTTCCATTTATTCATAGGGTAAAGGGAAATCTTCAAGGTTTTATCCTTCACGTGAATCTACTTGAGAAAGAGAGGCTAGATGTAACCGAACTACTCTAAATCAATCACTTGAAACTGGACGAGTTATATCCTAATTTTCTAGAAGAATTAAGATTATTTGCTCCTTGTAGCCTTTGGTGCCCATTTATGTTTTGGTTTTTGTATTCTTTTTTTAGTCTTTAATTGCAAAAGACAGGTGAAAACAATATGAATGATTTTTTATTTCAGTTAATACGCATGTAAGGAATATGATGTAAGTCGACATGTTGTTTTGATTACTTTATATATTCTATTCGATATTTTGTTGATTTTGTTTATGTTATTGAAGAAAAGACTTAAACGTATGTAACGCCGTAAATTTCAAAACAATTTTTCATTTAAATATAATGGTTTAATTCTTAAAAACACTTTTCTTAAAATCTCATTCATGATCAAATTACAAAACATAACTCCATTTTCACTTGCATAATAAACCAGGATCCTCAAAATATAACTCTTTCATTGGTGTGTAGAATCAAGTCGATGCCATCCCGTGATCCTGTGAGACACCTGAAACACATAACACAAAACACTGTAAGCACGAAGCTTAGTGAGTTCCCCAAAATACCACATATAACACATATTAGCCACTCGAGGCTATAACTCTGTGGGTCCGTGCACCCAAACTCTGTGAACCCTCAGGTTCTAACTCTAGGAACCTTCCGGTTCTAACTCTGTAAACATGCACAGCATAAATCACATAGAAATAATGTAGTACAACACATAACATATATAACATACAAATACTCTGTCACATAACTCTGGTTACCTACTCAAGGTAAAGTATAGTGAGAATATTCACCTCGCGTCTCTCGGTAAATATCTACCTCGTAACAAATGTGATCTAGCCTCCGCCTAATCACACAAGATAATACACCCATAAATACAACTGAACTCAACCCTAAAGGTCAACATGGTCAACGGTCAACTTTTACCGGACTCGGCGAGTACACTAGGGCGACCCGGCGAGTCTACACGTGTCCACTGATTCCCTGGGATCCTCTCTTGACACGTCGAGTGTTTTCCTAACTCGACGGGTTCCACCTGGCATGAGTCGCGGGGCCACCACGACTCAACTCGCCGAGTCTCAAGAATAACTCGATGAGTTCCAACTTGACTCAGTCCACCCGTCAACCCTCTCTGACTCTCCCTGACTCACTGAGTCAACCCCTTAACTCGGCAAGACCACTCGCTGAGTGGTTATGGACACTCTTCATGCTACTCGCCGAGTCTGTTCTTCAAACTCGGCGAGTCTATGCCATGCATCAACCCAAACTCACTCCTGAGGTCAGATCCGTTCCAAAAAGGCCATTTACTCCATGGATCATTCCAAAAAGGCCACAAAGAAACCCTATCTCTAAGATTTACACCAAGGACTGAGAAAGTGTGGCAACCCGAAAAACTTCTCGCATGCACTCTTCAATTCTTTCCAATATTAGACTTATTTTTCTATATAGTAGTACCCTTTAGAGTCTAATGAAGCATTCTAAATGTGATATAATCAAGGTAGGAGTGTTAAAAAGGGTTAACTCGAAGCGTAGGAATCAAAACCGGGCTAAACACTCCAACGCATGGAGTGTACGGTCGCACACATGGAGTGTGCGGCCATACACTTGAGTGTGCGGCCACACACTCTTGTTTGCGGCCTCACACCATTCCCAACCGCACACTCCACCTATATATGCCACACTTAAATCATTTTTGAACACTTCCTTCATTTCTTCAAGCATAGAACACGAGATCCTCTCAAGTATCATCCATTCTCCTTGAAGATCTTCATAAAAAGGTACCAAGAACACCAAGAACACCATCTGGCCGCACACATGGCCGCACACAGGGCCGCACACAAGTGCTGGCAGCACACAGGGCCGCACACAAGTGCTGGCAGCACACTAGGCCGCACACCTGGCCGCACACACACATATAGTGTGTATTTTGGCCATACACCCTCTTGTATAGCCTTATAAACCCTCATACAATCATATATGATTATAACACTTCATTATAAGTGTTTAATAGTCCCTATGATGGTCCCAAAATCATCAATTAGTTGTTCATAACACTAATTATATCCATACATGTGCCAATATATGCTAAATAGGCTTCGCGTGTGTACTCAAGTCACCACTTGACACCTAGCATCAAATCCAACTTTGTCATCAGAACCACTCACTACAGGTGAGTTCATACCCCTTTAATGAACCTTTCAATTGTTTTTATATGTTTTAGGGGGGGGGATACAACTCAATTATACATGTTTATGGAAATTAATCACATGCGATTTACTATCTGTAGTTCGAATCACATGTGATTTATCACTATGCCTTATAAAAGGATTTTTCGTTTTCAAAACTATTTTGAATAAATAAACAACTTTTTTTAAATGTTCCCTTTGGATAAGATTTTTCCTAAATAAAATTTCTTATAAAAAGTAACCACACTAATATATTTATATAAGTAAGACTTGAAGGACTTAGGACCGATAGCTCGCCTTATTCCCTGTTCTTGTTTGATTGTGGGCTTAGGGTAATTGTTATCCGTCCGACTGTCGTTAATTTCTTAGTTATATATCATGTATACTAGTGTTGGATACGAACATTTTCATTTCATCCGATGTTTAAACCACTAAATTGGTAAGAACTATACACACTAAGTTAACTATAATAGGTATAGTTAAGGCCATTACTACTCGCTATCACTACTACTCTACACACTATAATACACACTACGAGCTATACAAAAGACTACCACACTATAATACAAGAAAAGGCACTAAACAGAAGATAACACACTAACTCACTACGAGATACTCTATTCGCTACATACTATGCCCAGAGTTTTTCCGACCGGAAGATGACACTACATGTATAGATCTATACGGGGCAGACACTAGTACACCCGACTGTTAATTTCAGTCCGAGTCGTACAGGCCCAGGGATGCTACTACTTCACTATACTGTGTATGACCGGGAAGGTCATGGGGTTCTCTATTGCTCACACTATCGGTAACATACAAGGAATACACTATATCCACACTAAAACACTAAACTAAAGTCTAATTTAACATTCCCAAAGTAAATAAGTATCTATCACTAAGGGGAGTTTGCACCTCTATCACTACTACAGGTATATTCTATCTTATTAAATTACTTATTGGAGATCCAATGATATACTTTTACAATAAACGGTTTTTCACAAATGAAGATTTCTTGTTTCCTTAAGGTTTTTCACTTACAATGTATTCTCTGGAAAATATAGGATTTTCTAGGGTTTTCTATTACTTATGAATGTAAATTGCAACATTTCGTACTATCAGTTCTAATGCATGTATACAAAACTCACACTAAACTCTTATGAACTCACCAGCGTCATGCTGATATTCGTTTTCAAAATAACTTGTATCCTCATGTCAAAGATAGACAGGTTCGGGTGCAGCATTTTGGAGAAGGTGGAGCATACAAGATCCATCTCTTATTTTTGTATTACTTTTGGTGTTTTTTGAACATTACAAAAACACACTTGTAACTAAACTCACTATCTAAATGAAATGGTTGTATGTTTCTTGTTTTTACTATTATTCAATTGTGATGATACTGTACATGACGTCCTCCACTCCGAAACGTATTCCGCCGTTATCGGTTGTGACATCCCCATTTTCACGGCCAGAAAACACCGATTTTATTTATGCTTTATAAAAATCAGAGTTCTTCTTTTAATAAAAATGTTGCGGAATTTGTTCCCAGAAAAACATGATAAATATGTTATTAAAACATTTCCGAAGAAATGTACTTTATTCATTTTAAAACGTTTGGGATGTCATCGTCAATACAGGAACATAAGCATAAACAGAACTTACATTTATTTACACTAGTGATCTACATCTCTTTAAATCTCTCAGTGTAAAGTGACTTCGTATCAACACCTGTGATATAAATAAACTGAGCGGGTCAGGTTGGGAAACCTGGTGAGTACATAAGGTTTTCAACCCACAATAATATAATTATTATGTTTAAACAATCAAACAATCAACCCAATTACCCATCCCCATTATCTTCTTTAGTCTTAAGGATCTACCCTAAGAATCAGCTATTCCTCGTTTATTTATTCCTAAGGATCATCCTAACCAAGGCTTATAGAATATATCTGGTGAGCACGTAGTCCGAAACATCTGGTAAACACTTAGTTCAAAAGTAACTAATGAACACACTTAGTTCAAAATACCTAGTGAACACACTTGGTTCAAAGATACGTAGTGAACACACTCAGTTCAAAAATACCTAATGAGCACCTAGTTCAAAAATACCTACATGTTACGAACCTGCTATCGTTCCACTGGACCGTCTAGTATCAACCATAGTCGTCATCTATACTCCACTAGATGACTGGATCACTGACAACACTGATGTCTCCCATCGTGTTATCACAAAACAACTATTTCATCTACCCATGTTTTACCCAACACGTTTTGTAGATATAAAATACGTATACAGTTTAAATCATTTAAAACATGTATAAAAATCTTTCACTCGGCATAGACAGCAAGTATTCATACAATATGCACACACATAGCACGTAATTTATATTAAAATACTTCATATCTATGTGTAAGATGAAAGGGACTATGCACTCACAACACGTAAATTATATAATAAATACTTCATATCTATGTGTAAGATGAAAGGGACCATGCACTCACAACACGTAAATTATATAATAAATACTTCATATCTATGTGTAAGATGAAAGGGACCATGCACTCACAACACGTAAATTATATAATAAATACTTCATATCTATGTGTAAGATGAAAGGGACCATGCACTCACTTGAAAAGATGGTGATTCCGAACTCAGACAGCGCTTCACTTCTTGAAAAAAAATAATTTCCTTCGACGAAACTTAGTATTATCACCACTAGATTTTAATCTAATATTTACCATGACTAATTATTAGTCTAGCTATTATTACTATCATATAAGCATTAAAAAATACTTATATAACCCATAATAATAGCCCAAGTATTTATTATAAGTTCCTAATAACGTTACTATAATTAAATAAAAGCTATATTAAAAATAGCGTAGGCGTAGCTCACTTACAGCGGGTTTTATAGAAAACCAGGATTTGCTTGGAGCAGCGTTTCGGAGCCGAAAAGCTCTTCTTCTCAGAGCCGTCGAGCACTCTGGGGCTTCCGCCTCGTGCTAGGGAGGTTCCCTAGGCTTTTCGGGGGATTTCGGGGCTAGAGAGAGGTTTTAGAGAGAGAGTAAAGAGAAGAAAGAATGGGAA